TTTAGTTAACACATAGTAAATGAAGGCTATAGAGAGCACTTCTTCCCTTGCTCTAAAGTAAGAAAGAGATGGCATGGAATTAGTTTACCTTGACTTCAAGGGGCAACTAGGACTCTCTTTAGATCACGATTTGAAAATACCTGGATTCTTCTTTCAAACCTAGTCAAGCCTTTCAATAGCATCTCAACTCTCACCCATTCCCAAATCCAAACCTGAAACAACCATATGAGACTTTGAATTTTTCTCTCAGCTTCTCACGGTCTCCTTCTCGACTTTGAGTCCTTGACACTGCCTTCCATTAGCGATTTGGCCAAAGAAGGAGGTGAAGAAGCTAGAAGGTCTCTCGTTTATTGGCCTATCACTCTCGTCTTTTGCCTCAGCCCCCTCGAGTTCTTGACATTGATGCCTTCAATTGGCGATTCGGTAGAATAAGGTGAAGCTCACATTGAACAATATTGCTGGCTCTGGCCATAATCAGATTTGTAGTAAATTTGATAAAAATTGATGGAATACGTGATTGAAAAATTTATATAAGTTGTGAATCCCATAAATATATGGTCGAAAATGAATTTTAAAAATGAATGCTAAACATGGACATAATCTTATTATATATATATATAAAGAGAAGAACAAGTCCTCTCTCCACCCATTGATGTGTATATTATTTTCATCATTCTAATATGCAATAAAATAAGGGTATGGAAGAGAAATGTGTGCTTGCAATCACCGGCGCTCGTGAAATTTTAGACAATGGAGAACAAATGTACGTTTTGTTTTCCTCGTTATAATTTAATTTGTGAATATTATTCAAAAGATCCGAATTTATTGATCTGCATGTAATTGGTGTAAATCAAATTACTAACATTTTAAGCTCATACTTAGTATAGATTGGAAACACTTAGTATAGATTGGAAACACACCTACGAGATCTTATCCTTGATATTTCTTACTAGCAAACAGCCAATATATGTTCACTGCAGAATGAATTCACAATGCATTGACCTAATAAAAAATAGGGAAATTTGCAAAATAAATATATATTTTCCTGTCAATCTTACATAAATATTTTAAGGCAAAAGGGATATTATTCAAGCCTCCTACAAACTTTTACGACACTCACCTATCCCACCAAAATGTCTATTTTTTCTTGGAGATTGTGGAATAATTTGCCGTCTATAGATGAAATTATTCGGAAAAATTTAGTCCTTGCCTTCCCATCGTTCAACATGTTTTCGTGAAAGGCAAAGTGGCATTGGATGTGTAGAAACATTTCTACCAACATGATGGTCTTAACCATGCCAAGGCAGCCATCCACATTGGAGGATGCTCGTATTTTGGTAACTATGGATTGAAAGAAACAAAGCTGAAATACTAGGAGGGTTGTTAAAAGAGTGGAGATGATACCATGATGTGTAATACTATGAGAAAATCGAAGGAGGGAAGTATGAATAGAGCAAGGTTTACTGGAAGAAGCCACAAGAAGCTAGGTTGGAGTAAATTGATCACTGATGGCGCTCTTGAAAAGAATCTGAAAGACATTCTTTGGGGATTCTATAACTTCAATGAAACTTGCCCCATCCTTGTTGCTGAGACAAAAGCTTCGACTACGGGTTTAAATACGTATTCTGCTTATGTGGAGAAAATTAGGCAATAAGGTTGTGGACTAGCTTGCGAATACTGGAAGGCACCTCCAATGATTCCCACCATTCTTTCTCTTCTCTATACTCACGGAGGAGGAGATGGCTTATTTTTCCTACTGCCAGTTCTACAATGGGCCTGAAGTTTGCATAGAAGCTCAATTGTTGGTCTTGCATTCTTGTTAACACTTTTCCCTTTAACACAAGTAGTAATATTTCATGGTTTAGTCCAGTCTACTCAGGCAATATTAGCAGGTCTCCCGATATCAGTCAGGTCCTTGACACATTGAAAATTTTCCAAATGTCTACTTAGGCGATGTTTCTTTATGTTCTAATTCAAATTTTGTTAACTATATCATTGAAAAATGTATGAGCATCAGTCATAAATTCCCTTGAAAGGACTTGAGAAGGCCCATAAGCTAGGTCTACAGCAAATAATTATTCAATCTGACTCGAGATAATCTACGATCATTGAGTAAGAAATTGACTCCACCTTTTCGCTAGATCTTTGCCTTAGTAAACAAATAAAAAAATGCATATATTTTAGTATTGTGCGATCCAATCTTCTTGGCAACTTTCTTTTGTACGCTAAATTAATCGGATCTTGTTTGGCAGTCGGCACACAAGATCCAATCTTTTTTCACTTCTTATCCAATTGTACTTTTTTCTTGATAAAAAATATCAGAGTTATGACGTCAGCACTATCTATTGCAGCCAATCAAGGAGAATAATGATGATCTAAGGTATAAACTGCATCATATTAACTCTTCGTCGCCAAACTCCTACCAACAATATCTCTCCAAATAGGGCGATGGAACGTACCACTAAGCCAGACATTGTAACTTGACAAGACTACGTATACAAGTTTCCGTCTCTTGCAGCCCATATAAGAGGGAAAACATCAACGAAATTGGTCTAGCTAAATCAATGGTTTGTTGATGAAGGACGAGTCCGCAAATCTGTTGGTTTATTTGAGAAGCCAGTGGTTCAATTTTTGAATGCTAGGGAAGTAAGTATTCTGTAATACTACTATAAGGGTAATTAGCACAAAACGTCCATACCTTTCGATATTTTTGTGAAAAACGTCCATACCTTTCGTTTTTTGGAGGATTACACTCTCACATTTACCTTTTTTTGCGCAAAACGTCCTTCTATCAACTCTCCGTTAAAATGTTCCATTAAATTAAAAGGTAATTAGCACAAAATGTCCCTACCTTTCAATATTATTGTGCAAAACATCCATACCTTTCATTTTTTTTTGCATAATTAGCACAAAAGGTCCCTATCTTTCAATGTTATTGTGCAAAACGTCCCTACCTTTCATTTTTTATCATTTTCACCCCTACTTTTCACCTTTCATTGCGAAAAAGGTCCTTCTCATCCATTTTTTCAATAAAATGACGATTTTACCCTCCTATTCAAATAAAATAAAAAGAAAAGAAAAGAAAAATAATTAATTAATTGTAATTATAGTCCTAAATCTTTCAAAACATTACAAATAAATTCTAAACTTTCCACTACCGTCACTTTCATAACCCCACCAAGCCACCACCTATAGATCCATATAGCACTACCTTTCGGCCACAGCACCTATCGGACTCCACCACCACCAGCCTCACCTCACTCTTCCCAATATCCTCCTCCATAGTATTGGTCACTAATCTGTCCAAAACAACCACATTTACGGTGGCAGAGTCTGGTGGGAATGGTGGCAAAAATGTGTTATTATGTTGATTTATAGTTGATAGCTTGATAGGTTGTGAAAGTGGTGATGGTTGGGAATTTATGATTTCTTTGTAATTTTTTAAAAATATGATTGCAGTTGGTTATTCATCTTTTCTTTTTGTTTTATTTGAATAGGAGGGTAAAATCGTCATTTTATTAAAAAAATGGATGAAAAGGACCTTTTTGGCAATGAAAGGTGAAAAATAGGGATGAAAATGCAAAAAAATTAAAGGTATGGACGTTTTGCACAATAACATTGAAAGGTAGGGACCTTTTGTGCTAATTATGCCAAAAAATAAAAGTTAAAGACGTTTTGCACAATAATATTGAAAGGAAGGGACCTTTTGTGCTAATTACCTTTTGATTTAAAGGAACATTTTAACGGAGAGTTGACAGAAGGACGTTTTGAGCAAAAAAGGTAAAGGTGAGGGTGTAATCTGCCAAAAAACGAAAGGTAGGGACGCTTTCCACAAAAATATCGAAAAGTATGGACGTTTTGTACTAATTACCCCTACTATAATTTTAAATTCCAGCGAGCATTATTGTTATTCTGTCAAAAAAATTCTTTAAAGTTGATCTAAAAGTGCTACATATTTTTGACCATCAACAAGGTTGAAATCGTATACACGTGCAATGTGAAATGAGGGGATCGTTCTTGAGCCATAAATGAGTTTTCAATTTAAACAAAAATTTTACAATTAGATTTAAGTAATAAAAAATGATAATCGAGTTAATTTCTCATACATTTGAAATTAAAAATTAAACATCGATGTAAGTATCACACAAGGTTACGTATCCTTGGATTAAGGTGGTGCAAATTAAGCCCCTGTTTGATTTTCATTCTTCGAAAAAAAAATACATTTTTAAACAATGTTTTGATATAATTTTAATCACATATTCTTTAATAAAATAATATTACACGTAAATCTAAAACTTTTTCTTATTTTTTAACTACACATTTCTCATTAATACACTATTCAAATATTCATTTTTATCAAAAGAATGGAGCTTATACAAGAGCTCAATGTACCATGAAACACTAGTCTTGTTCAAAATTCTTTTAGAGTTTGTTTGGTAGAGATTTTAATTCAATTAAAATTAATTTTTTGATCGTTATTTCACTATTTCAGCCTTCATTTTTTAATTTTTCTCTCACAAATAGAACTCATTTTATCTCTAATGTTCAAAAATCAATTATTAAAATTCTTGCCAAAGAAGCACTTATTCTTGACACCATTATAACTTTTCATGGAAATATAATTAAGTGGACCACCCACATCACACTATAAGATTTCCTCCTTTTTCGTGGGAATATATGAGGAGTGGATAACCTAAACACCGTTTCCCCGGAGAATCAATTTTGAATATTCTCACTCGATTCCAGGTACAAATAGAATACCTTTTTAGAAGTTTCTGCCCAACAAGTCTTTAATCAATGTAATTTGTATTATCTATAAGCTAATTAAGTAGATTAAAATACTTAATCCAATTGTTAGGAGCAATAAAAAAATATATTTACACAATAATAATGATAATAATAAATAAATAAATAAATAATACCCCACCTGAGACACATAACTGTACTATTAGTACTGTTACTAGCTAAAAACAAAAAATGTCCCTTGATTCACGCTGCAATTGACACCTGTCACTATCCTTCTTCTTTCTCTTCCCGTGAAAATATCTCAGCCCCCATTTTTACTATTCAATCAAACACATTCATCTCCACTCACTCAAAGAAGCTAAAATCAGCTTTGAGATTTCATCAATACGTCAGTATTTGTAAGCATATACGTGCAAGAATGACGGATATAACAGATGATATAGCTGAGGAAATTTCGTTTCAGGGGTTTGAAGATGACTGTCGATTACTGGGGAGCCTTCTTAATGATGCGTTTCAGAGAGAAGTTGGGACCCAATTCATGGAGAAAGTTGAAAGGACCAGAGTCCTCGCTCAGGTTTCTTCGGATTGTTTTTTATTTTCGACGCTGACTCTTGGTTATGTTAGAGATACACTCTACTGGGTTTTTTTTATTTGCAGAATTTTCGCATATCTGTTTTAATATGCATGTGGTCTATTCAGAGTGCATTTTGTTGCATCAGTGTTCCTTCTTTTTTTCCCGTGAGAATGTTGTATACTTGTATTTACGTGGATAATGTTATCAATCTTAATTTGTATTAAAAGTTCATCCAGTGATAATTTTTTGCTTTTGACTCTTATTTCAAACTATCTGGCTTTCTTTCATCTTCAAATTTACATATATGCATAAGCTGTATGCCTATCAAATGCAGAAATCACTTATTGATTTTCTTTAAGTGTGTTCATGTACACCTAGGCATATGGGTCCTTACTGGGTCTTTTCCATCGATATTATAATTTATTAGACTATAAGTGCACACTTTTAGCTTGATACAAAAGATATTTTGATTTGTAATTGAAGAATTATGTTTGTTGTATTCAGTCTCAACATTGGTGCAGGAACCAAATTACACTGTCATAAATATGCTAAGCTATACACAACATTAATGGTAAGAGGATAATTGCACAAAAAGATTTTAGGAGGAATTAGTAAATCTCTATCATATAGTCTGGTAAATTTCCATCATATGATCTGATTGAATGGGCCAAATGCATTCAATCCACTCATTCTCGCCTTGATTCACCTTGAATATAAATTTAGATCTTCATGGAATATTCATTGTATCGAGCTATCGATTATCACTTGGTAGAGAAAGAGCTGTAATATACACTTTCCTATTCCTCAAAAATCTCTACAGATTTTGCCGTTGCTGCTTTATCCTCTTGTTGCTTTGCTTTAATACCCTCCCGCAAACAGAGCTGAGGCTGGAGGCTAAGCTTGTTTCGAAAATCAATAAGGGTAGCTTTTTACATGGGCTTGGTAAATAGGTCAGCAACTTGGTGAGTAGTGGAGATCTGCCGAGAAACAAGAAGACCAAGTTCAACCTTTTCACGCACGAACTGATAGTTTAATTCGATGTGTTTGTTGCGGGCATGGAAGACTGGATTTACAGTCATGTGGAGAGCGTTGAGATTATCACAAAACAGTACAGGAGGACGTGGCATGGCAACTCGAATGTCTTTGAGAAGGAAGGTCAGCCATGTTACTTCAGCAGTGGTGTGGGCCGTTGCCCTATTTTCAGCTTCTGTAGTGGATCTAGAGATTTATTTTTTTTCATACCGAGAAATGAGATTATGGCCAAGGAAGGTACAATAGCCTTTGATAGTGCGTCGAGTAGTAAGATAGCCTGCCAATCTGCATCAGAGAGAGCACATAGATCAAGTGTAGTGCAGGAAGTAAAGTTAAAACCTAGATGGATGTGCCTTTGATGTATTGCAAGATGCGACGCACCATTTTCGGAAGTGGAATGGTGGGAGTTTGCATGAACTGTGATGAAAAATTAACACTATGAGAGATATCAGGGCTAGTAAGTGTGAGGTATTGTAGGGCCCTAGTGAGACTTCGATAGAAGCTTGGATCTTCGAGGGGAGTGGTATTAGTAAGACCCTTGGTTTTTGCCTCTAGGGGTGCTCATAGGCATGCAATCAACCGTTTGTGTTCTTTCAAGAATCGCGACAATATGGTGAGATTGTGATAGATTACAGCTTATTCGAAGTTAATGTGATCTAAATACCAAGGAAGTGATGAATGGAACCGAGATCCTTCATTGCAAATTCAGTGTGCAAAGTCTGTATGAAATCATCTAAAAGCTGTGGGTTTGAGCCTGTAAGAAGCATATCATCGACGAACAATAAGAGAATAAAGTTCCATAGGGAGTGTGTAAGATAAAGAGGGATGGATCAGCTAAGCTACAAAGGAAACCATGCTTAATTAGAAAAGAATTAAAATGATCAGACCAAACTCTTAGGGCTTCTTTCAAGTCATAAAGTGCCTGTTGTAGCTTTCACACATGATTTGGGAATGTAGGGTCAGCCATTCCTGGTGGTTGTTTCATATAAATATCTTCAGAGATAAGACCATGAAGAAACGCATTTTTAACGTCCAATTGACGAATGCTCCAATGTCGAACAAGTGCAAGGTTGATGACAAGGCAGCTTGTGCCTGGCTTGATTGCGGGAGAGAATGTGTCAAGTTGATGGTTGCCCTTGGCAACCACATGCTCTTTAAGTTGATCAAGATACCATCTGGCTTTAGTTTAGGCTTAAGGACCCATTTGGAACCAATAACATGCATAGTAGGCTCACAAGGGACAAGTTTCTAGGTATGATTATGGTGCAGAGCAACCATCTCTTCTTCCATTGCAGTCATCCATTCAATATGATTGAGAGCAGCTTTGACTGTGGGGTTCTCTCAGAATATCTTGGCTAACTACAGTCAAAGCATACTTCAGGTTTGGTTTGTGAATCCCAAGTTGCGATCAAGTCATCATGCTATGAGTAGGCTCAGAGGTTAAAGTGCTTTGAGGCTCAAGTGGATGCAGAACTTCAACAGTCTCAAAGTCCTAATCTTGGGCCTGGGAATGCACAAAGAGTTTGTATGTGTGAGGAGAATGAGAATTAGGTGACATAGAAGTAGAGAATAAATCTCAAGGAGAAGAGGAACCTGGGGTCTCAGCCGAGCACATTGCAATGTCTTCAAGAGGGCTTGCTGTTTGAGTTTCAAGTGTAGGAGACGCCGGTGGAATTGGGCTTTATTCATACTAAACAAAGAACTATTTGGGGAAGTTGTGACTGCAGCTGGCATTTGGGAAAGTGAATGTCGAGTAGCTGTATTCATTGAGACATCTTGAGGTACCAAACTGGGCAGTTGAGTGGATGAAGAATCAGCATTATTAACTTTGATAGACAACATCTGCGAGTTAGCTTGTTGAAGAGGTAAGATAATCCATGTGTAAAAAATGCCAATCCATTGATTTGAGGAAATTCCAGTGCATTCTTGTGACTTTTGAAATGGAAAACTGGTGTAAGAGAAGACTATATGTTGAGAGATGAACATCCTTTGACTAGATGGGTGAAAGCATTTGTATACTTTGTGCCTGTTACTATACCCTACAAAGACACAAGTTAGTGTTTCAAGATTAAATTTGTTTGTGCATGTGTCCCAAGCGTATGGAAAACATTCAGAACCAAATACTCACAAGAAAGAGTAAGAAGGATGAATACCATGCAACTTAAAGTAAGGAGTATCAAAATTAATAGCAAAACATGGAAGTCGATTTAGTTAAAAAAATTGCAGTAGTAAAAGCTTCCAACCATAAGTATAGAGGTGCACCACAATGAAGTAGCATGGTCATACCTAGCTTACGAATTATTCTATGGCGATGCTCAATCATACCAGTTTGTTCTGAGTGTAAGGACAAGAAATTTGATGAACTATTCCCTGCTCTTGGAAATGAGAAATGATTCTTGAATTAACAAATTCACCACCTCCGTCGGAGTGAAAGATTTTTATTTTTGTATCAAACTATCATACTACATAATGTTCAAACGCCAAATAAGCATTGGAAAAATCAGCTGTAGTTTTGAGAGGTATTATCCAAGTATAATGTGAGAAATCATCTACTAGACACGTATAATAGCGAAATTTTCCAAGAGATAAAATAGGTGCTAGACCCCCACAAATCACAGTGGACTTTATTAAAAATATTTGAGTTTGAGTTTTCGGAACAATAAAAAGGCATTTTGCTCAATTTGCCTAACTGACAATTATCACAGGTAGATTGTAATTTTTTGACTCCTTGAACTTGAATCAAGCCCTTATTCCTAAGTAATTGAAGTGCAGATGCTTGGGATGTCCTGGCCGCTCAAACTCAAAACTTTTTCTTATATTTTAACTACACATTTTCCATCAAAATACTATTCTAAAATGCATTCTAAGCAAAAAATGAGGTTCAAACAAGCTCTTAATCATGATACTTTTCTAGAATGCATTACTGAAAGTACCTTCTTGATGTCCTAATGTTAATTTCCTCTCGCAAATAAAAAATGCAGTATTATTTTGATTTAGTGGGTTCATGGTGAATATAACTACTAATATATGGTAATTCAAAAATAAAAAAAATGTACTGATGTATGGACAAATATATGAGTTGTAGAGTGCATGCAACATGAGGGCGGCAGGAATTGAAGACACAGCAGAGCTGCTTGAGAAACAACTGGCTGCAGAGTTATCAAAAATGACATTAGAGGAAGCCTTGTCACTTGCTCGAGCATTCAGCCATTATCTAAATTTGACAGGAATTGCAGAAACTCATCACAGGTAAATAGATTTTTTTGTCCTTGTCGGGATATAGTTACAATTTTTTGTTCCTCTCTTTTTACATGGGTTAAGTTACCTTGTGATTTGAAAGAGAGATGAACTTAGGTTCAGTCTTATGGCAACATTCAGGCTGAAATAGTTATTATTATGTTTTAAGATTATTTGGAATTGCAGAATAATGCTGCCTTTAAACGAATGAATTATAATTGTGAGAAGTAAGAGTTTCTCTATTATAGTCATTAATTTAAGTAGAGCATCCCAGGGGAAGAGGTGGGAGAAAGTTCAAAGTATTTTCTCATATCAGAAGAATAACAATTGAAGATTAAATATATTCATAGGGCCTGAATTTTAGGCTTTTGGGTTAATATTTTGTCCAAGGCATATATCTTAAGGATAGATTTACGCTATTAAGCTTTCAGGGTTCATCAACAGTTTTTATTCAAATTCAATGATTGTTGGAGTGCATGGTCATCTTGAGAGCATGTTTGTTTCCCATTTTCAT